GCATGCTAGTCACACATATTTGGAGGAGAAAACAAAGACAAATATCCCCTAAACATCCATCACAGTTTACAGACCTACCACATGTAAACCTCGGATATACTCCCAATCGGACGCGTGGTAATTCTCTTTCTGCTACTTTCTGGACACATGCGCAGTAGATCACTATGCACTTGTAGCATAGTGTAGTGTCTGCGCAGCAAATTGGGGGTATATGCGGATGTCCCCACAGAGCCTACGATATAATTTTCATCACACAGACCCTGGCGGACCATTGCGTACTTGCGGATGTGGAAAGATTTAGGCCTTCAGTATGCTTCAAACAGAGTACCTGTCTAACTTGAATGGGGGAGGAGGCTGCATCCAACCATTTTGGTAACTTTTCCAAATTGCCAACACGACAATCACTTCCACAGAGAGGATGGCTTTCTAGTGTGACCATTCAGAACAGAAGAAAAACACTTTTGTTGTACAAACCAGTTTCTTTCAAACCGGTTTTACCTCCAAATAAAGTGGTTTAGCTAATCTGGAACTGTTGGTTTGTTTCTAACCCGTCTGATTATCTGACTGCGTTTTTCTTGACTTGTCAGACTTAGTTCTAGCATTGTCGCCATGTTCCCAGAAATCAGCAAGTAAATTGGTGAGTATGTTATCATAAACAATAGGAAAGATGGAAAAAACTACCAATATAAGACCAAGTGGTACACAAATACACTATCCTTTGAGAAAGGAGGTGCAGGTTCAACCTACTGCCCTTCAGTCCTGCAAAGGCCACATCTTTGGAACCCACTGAGGGAGGTGGCCCCTGAATTGAAGTGAGTCCACACACAGTTTGTACTGCTCTTCCCAACGTATATTCATTTATGATGGCTGGGGGGAGTGTGTCTGTGCGTGGCTGCTGATTGTATTGTGAAGGTAGTGTAAGAGTGCCCTCTACAGGCATTCTTCAGGCACTTGAATGAAAGGACCTGATGCCTCTTTAGCAGTCTGTGTAATCGTATTTAATGGCTATATTTGTATTAGATCAGCTGTGCATTCATTTTAATGCATGCTGACACGTTCAAACGCGCACATTTAATTGTGTGCACAATGTATTACTCACACACAGTGCAGACAAGTCATGAGAATGTGAAACATGAATTCTAAGTGTGTTCCCAAGTATACTTACTCTTTCTAGATGAATATGTCATATTTTTGTTTGCAGTTAAAACAAATTAATTGCACTTTTATAAGAGAAACTTGGAGCTGTGTATTGTTAACATCTCAGTTTATTTTAAAAAAAAGTGTGCCTTTTCATAAAAAGACAATTTATGAGAAGATGAAAAAGAAACTGTACATTATGGCCAGATTTGTTTTTGTTCTTATTTTTTCTCGTTTATCTCTATTTAGCTGATATGTTGATATGCAAATCCTCTGATTCTCAAGTTGTGCATACCTTTACTGCTTTGTGTTCTCTAATCAACTTCAGTCAGTCATCTAAGATTTCATCTTTCATCTCAGAGCTTACAGTTCTAACCTCACTGTGCCAGGAAATTCATTTTTTTGTGGAAAGCAGTGGCTTTGGTTATGCTCAGTAGTGACTTCAGCTTGGATCAGTTTGGTGCTGCAGTACTGTACTAAATGGACAGTGACATTTAATAGGTGTTGGGTAACCACAATAAAGAAAGTCGCCACCCCAACATGTGGACAAACAACAAAGAACCTGACTCCTGTTTTATAGGTCGTGTAAGTGTAAGTGTTGGGGAGCACTAATTCCTAATTTTACTTACACTGTTTTGTGGGAGCCAATATCCCAAGCAGGTCAGTCGAGGCTGTTGATTAAATAAGAGTGCTTCACTGGGCACAGCGTGATCTCACTGGAAATCCCTTCAAATGATAATGGAGAATATTTTGACATTGTGAAGCACAATGCAGCTAAGGGTGACAAATGCTACCCTTATGGCCTCTTTGTACATCCAAAAAACATTGAAAAATAACCAGTAAATAAGCTTCCGAAATTCTTCCACGTGGTCATGACATTTTGTTTTGATCGGATGAGGCTCTGTGGTACGGAAAAGTGTTGCTTTTTCACTGCTGCAGATCAGTGAACATAGAGACAGAGACCAGCGCATACTCGGGAAAACCACGGCCACCGAAGGGAAAAAACGATTAATGCCGCTTTTAGAGTGCTGCCAGAATGAGTCCTTTCAGCACGTCAAAGAATTATTTTAGCACCCTATGTCTACCAGGGAAGCAGTTGATACCTAAAATGATGATGGAACAAGTTAGCTGTCAGCGAGCTAATGTTAGCTATGTGTTAGCAAGTTACTGTAGTTAGCTAAGGCATTGGCAAACACAATACTGCATGGCTTTGTAACGTGACATTATCCACTATAACACAAGTTGCATGCTGTCGAAATGTTTTAGTTCAACTCACATACATATAGGTAGCCTAAAACTCATATTTGGACAAAATGCTTGCTGCACACGTACAGATAAGCATACTGAGTGTCAGGATTCCAATGTCTCTCATTCTTCCTGATGATGCCTCATGTCTTATTGCCTGTATCCTCAGTTCTTCAGTTCAGAAGCTTAGATCTGGGTTCTTCACTCTGTTGGTAGTGCATCCCACCACACAGCAGCTTTTAGGCATTTTTCTGTTGCGTGCTAGCAGACGAAAGAGACAAGGAGGCACCTTCACACAATATGAAGTCAATAAGGAGCAAGAAATTGTTGTTGTATTAGTTGCTCTGTCTCTATGAACACTGCTGTTGCTCTCCTTTGCACAACTTCATCTCATCAAAATCATCCCGAAAAAATGTCCCAAAAAAAATCTCCTTTTGTAGTTGTTGTAATCATTTGGGTTTTGTACAGTGAGACACAATCATACAAACCAGACTCTAAAAGCTTCTCTCCATCTCTCTGGCCTGCTCTCCTTGTTTTATCATTTCTTTAATGTTCCACTCTTCCTCCATCCTCATGTACTTTTGTTTTGTTTAACAGTAGGCTGTGTGCTGATTAGTCAGTTGCATTATTTGTAAGACAACATAATAATAGTGAATGATAGGGACTTTTGTTTCATCTACCAATATGCAAGACAAATAAATGTGTTCATGTGACCTACTTTTCTGCGTGTGTTTTGTGTCATGTGTATGCATGTGTGGATGTGTGTGTGGATGCAGGCAACTTGGCAAAGTGGGCCCCCAAAAGCTGCATTGTCACGGCATGTCACGTAGTGTTGGCAATTTGATTATTAGAAATGTGTTACATTTGCACCACTAACCTATATGCACAAACATTAGTAAAGTATATGCCACTACTTCATACTCCACTACACTTAATTGTCAGCTACCTTTTAAGTATACTTTTCAGAATAAGAGAAAAACAATCTATGATGAGTTTATAAAAAATGATACACTGTTGAAGATCACAGTAGATTACTACTGTACAATGACAGTCTACAAAGTAGTTAATGTTAGGCCATGACTTGCTGCAACATTATAGTGCTGTTAATATATGATACTGCAGTAATAAACTGACGGGGCAATACATTTTGTAGCATGAACTCAAAATACTTCTTAAGTATGTGCATAGTTGTAGTAGTCCATTAGTCCTAGGATCTGCTTCATCTTTAGCAACAGTGTCCTTCAGCAAGTTTACAAGGTATGAGCAGCCAGCAGTGATTCTCCATCATAAATCACAGCACCTGCTGCGCTGGTTACTCCGTTGCTTTCTGATTGTGCTTTCTCAAAGGCGCATAAAAAAAACAACAACAAAAAAACGGAGAAGGGGAGAAGGGAAGTTGGGGAAAATCCAGAGAAAAAATAACTTTATATTATCTGAGATATTTTCTAAGATTAAAGTCACAATTTCACAGTTTTTTTTGTCGAAAAACCTCATCGCTTCACTTTGCAAGATTCAACCTAGTCTTTATTTTAAGATCACAATCTAAGTGAAGATACCAGGAAACACCTAAAATGTTCAAAACAGATTATAGTTTATTCAGGTATATGAATACACACCAATACACACATTTACACGCCTCCGGTAAACACTGTGGCAACTGGAGACGCAGAGTGCAAAATATATTTATTATATTAGTATCTATTCATAAAAGGATACAGAAAGAACTTGAAAGAAATGTAAGTATCCTTTAGGACCTTCATCTCGCGCTAATTTATGACTGTAACATCTCAGAGAATATTTGAATTTTTTTGCTTCTAAAAATTTTACTCCGTAAATATATATATATATATATTTATTTTAACCTACAATGGCCCTAATTTTCCGTTGTAGCTTTGATCGCATTACTATGGCAGATTTAAGAATAGGAATTGAATTTATGTTCCCTGGGTGGGTATGGGTGAATAGGGGGTTAAAACACAACATCCCTCCTCACTACATTTGCTGTAGGATGGTATGTATGCGTGGGGATGGGGGGCTAAAAGGGGCCAAATAGCAAATTATTTGCCCCTGGGCCCCGAAACAGGATTATCTGGCCATGCATGCAGGGAACCAGCATCTACACAACGCACTTCGAGTACAAGTTGTTAAAAACAAGTTATTTAAAAAATGTATTATTTATGTTGGTTTTCTAATTGACCAACTGAGTTTCCTGCCCTGACAGTTTGGATTTCCTGACATAAGGTTCCTCACTTGATACTGTAGAGATGAGGCTTTCTATTTAACCTATCGTAAATTGATACAAATAATATTATTGACATGATAGATAAGAAGGAATACCACATATTTATAATTGGACAAAAAAATATGACTTGCCTTTAATCTAAAATCTAAAATTTGAAGATATCAGTAAATAATATCTAAAATATTCAACTATAAATATGACTAACTGCAAAATAACTACATATCACAGATTTGCATTTTAGCTAGGCTGAATATAATCAAACAATCTAAAATATTTAAATAACATAGCCATAAAAACGTCCCTGGAGAAACAAATGGGTGACGTCACCCACGCTGCGACCGTGTTTTGCCCCAGCTCGAGGTGTTATGTGACACAGTATTCGACACAACACCGGTGTGACCTCATGATTGGGGTTCTCCTCATACATCCATGGATAACACGCTGGACATCATCCACTACCGGTTTGTGGTGACAGTACGTTTTACGTCACCGGCAGACGGACAGACACGTTACTGCTGCAACACTGACCACCTTACATTACGTACACGTTATTTACCGTAGCTCGCCGTAGCTGGGTGTGAATGAAGGAGGACCTGCGAAGAGCAGCACCGGGACTTCACCGTTGCGTTCCTGCAGACTACAGGTAGGCAACGAAACCGACCGCTGTCACCTCCCGTCATACTGCAGACGACACCGATATCCGCAGAGCACAGCGGTACGAGTCTCAGGTGGAACGACGTGTCGGTGTGCAGCTACACATTTGGTAGCTAACCTCACGTGTTTGGACGTTTCTACTAGGATACAGCTTCATATTGTTTCAGAACAGCGAACTTTAATGATCGTTCCAGCGGGTCACTGCGAATCCACGTCCGTGTTGGAGGCAGTGTCTGCTGTTACAAGTCCAGCATTGCAGACTGAGGTCAATCCTATTCAGGGTCGTGGGGCGCTGGAGCCGATCCCAGCTGACATTGGGCGAAGGCAGGGTACCCTGGACAGGTCTCCAGTTGATCTCAGGGCACATGTAGAGACAGACAAACATGCACGCTCACATTCACACATACGGGCAATTTCGAGTCTCCAAATAACCTAAGCTGCATGTTTTTGGACTGTGAGAGGAAGCCGGAGAACCCGGAGGGAACCCACGCTGCCACGGGGAGAACGTGCAAACTCCACACAGAAGGTGACAGTGCTAGCCACTACACCACCGTGCAGCCCCAAATTCATCTCAATTATTATAATTTAAAGATTGCATAAAAGGAAAAAACGCTCTTTCGTTTTAGCATTAAATCATTAATGCACATGGCACAGATGGGATCTGCTGTATTACAGGCCTATACACTTTATTACAAAGCAACATATTTTATGTAGGGATGCATAGATACTGCATAGATGCATCTAACCAAGCAAATTACTCTTTCATTCATTCATTCATTCATGTGCAATATCAATGTATATGTGCAATATAAAGACATCCTACTTCCTAGCTCATATGTGCAATAACGTGTATCCAACCACTCAATCGATTCAATTGTGTTTGTTTTGTTTTTATTTTCCTGTTTTGTTTTCTGCTGACTTCTCTTGTTGCACTGTCCACTTTGCTGCTGTAATTCTGCCAATCTCCCCGCTGTGGGCCTAGTAAAGGATTATCTTGTTTTATACCGATACTGACCCAAAGAGCTAGGTTGGGTGTCGGTGACAATGAGGCTTTGAATAGATATTCAACGCACTTCTCTGTTTAAACACCTTACACTATTAGATACTGGAATTTAAATTTTCTGTTTATAATTTGACCATTCTGGTGCTGAGTTAAAATTATATACACAATTGTAATTGTAATTATAACATTTTTTAACCAAGTTAATGGTGCATGATTTATTATTTTATAATTAATAGTAGCATGCAAATAGTTCGGAAAATGTATAGCTATGTAGGGTTCTTTCCACGATGTTGTCAGACACTTGTAATATCAGTCTGAGCCTGTCAGTGGCAAAAACAAGCACTTTTCGTGGACGTACATTTATGGTGAAAAGTTGCCCGATATAATTACATTGCAGACCTTTTATCGGCTGCTGGGTGCAGCGGCCTTTGTCAACATTGGACCAATTTCAGAAAATGTTCTCCCGATTAGTCACCTCGACACAATCACATGGGACAGTAGGATCCAGGTTGTGAAATACCGAAGTAAGCCTTTACCTTTTCTCCGGCGCAATCATCAGGTCAAAATCTCAATTAGTTTAGTTTATGACCAAATACCTGCAACACTAATGACATTCATTCCCATTAGCAAATTTGTGTTGAGCTGTAATTAAGAAGTGCTAGCATGACAACATACAGGGTGGACTGGGGGAAAAAAGTGGCCCGGGAGTTACTGTCAGACCGGCCCACTCAATACACGGCGCGTTGCCCACTCAATGCATCGCACGTATCGACCAGTCAGTGGCCTACTTGGAAAAATACCCGTACACTTCACATTATTTTGGATGATTACAAAGAAATTACATCATATATGTTTTTTTTTATAACATTTGGATCCACCAATTTGCCTGGATGGACACATGGAATAAAATGATACTGGCTATTGTAACACTCCAAGGTAGGTATAGTTTGCTAGATGAATATGCTTAACTCTGGGCTAGTATCAGATGGTTATACATATAACTACAGAGCCTTAATGGATGAATGTCAGCAGAGAAAGACCACACAATAAAGAAACTGGAATCAGAGGGTAGATTTAGTATGAACTATATTGTAGAAATGAACAGAACAGAACATACGATGGGGTGTGAACATCAGTGGTATCAGTAGTGTTGGATGCTGGGTGTATGATTGTGTGTGTGTGTAGGGGTGTTGAAGGTGCATAACAAAACAAGTTAAGTAACAGAACCTAAACTAACTCTGCCGGCCCAGGTGCATTATAGTCACATGGTAATAAAAAACAATATCAGTATACTCATGTGTTATTATTACCTCACTACATGAGTCGTTTTTGCAGCAGCTCACTCTTTTCTGCAACACCATCTATGATTTTCTCACTGTCCAGCATCTGCAAAACATCTGTCTGAGTAGCAAACAACATAAAAGCCTCCAGGTGCTGTTGAGAGAGTGAGCTCCTGAGGATGTTTTTGATATATTTCAGCGTCGAAAAGCTTTGCTCGCATGCTACCTGTGTGACAGAGAGGGTAAGCAGGAACCTGTATGCAAGGCCTATGATGTGGTATGCATCTGTCAGGAGGTTGTACTGCTTCAGAACTCGGTAGCAACAGATTGGACAGTCCTTGCAAGATGAGCACTTTTTGTAAACCATCTCTGCCTCATCTTCAGCATCCTCCGGCCCGGGTTCTGTTGTCTTGGTTGTGTACTCCTCAAATACTGATGCCTTCAGCCTATCCCACTGTCGTGCCAGACTTTTGAGCTCGCTCTGTCATCAAATGGCAGCAAACATTTGCTCAACTCTTGGAGTGCTGCCTCTGGGAAACTATCGCCGTAAGATGTTACCTGGCTGAAGTTTTTGGGGTCCAGAAGTGCCAGATCAGCATACAAAGTGCCATTCTTGAGGAAACGCTGGTGCATGCTTCCTGCAACTGTGTCCATGATTCGATTGTGGACCTCAATCTTGTATGATGTTTTGGCATCAGTCACAGCCTCATCTTGGGACATCTCTCCAGGCATGGATTTCTTCCTTCTTCCCCGTTTCTGTGGCAGAGTTGTCTCCACCACCAGCTCAGTCTCCTCACTCTGCTCCTGTAGTTGATTGTTGGCCCACTGGACAAATTTGTCAGCCGCTGTCTTGACACTCTGGAAATCTCTGGTCATATCCTTCAGCTCTGCTTCTGCAGCCGCAACCATCCGATGAGCTGTCAGGATGTCCATTCCACTTGTCTGAAGGTATTTAGAGACTGGTGACGTGACCTGGAAAATTCGCAGGAAGATCTGAGCTGTAAGTATAGTCTCATACTTCAGAAGCTGGCCGATGTATCCCTGTGCATTGACTCGTGCCATGGCATTGATGGTCTCTCCATCTTGAATGGCTGAGAGGGTGTGGAGGACATCAACACATAGCCCTGTCTGGCTTTCCAAAAGAGCCAAACACCTTTGTCACAGCTGCATCTTTGGACCACCAGCGCGTTTCTCCTATCGAGGTGAGACGTCTGCATCTTGGGTCTTTGCTCTCCTTCTCCCAGATATTCATCCTCTGGTAGGACTCTCTGAAGAAGACAGCGATGTTGTTCATCAGGGAAAAAAGAGAGCCACTTGCCAGTACACACTGTGTTGTGTCTGACAGCACAAGGTTTAGGATGTGTGAATAGCACCACACATGGATTTGAGTCGGGCACTTTTCGGAGAGCAGTGCAGAGAAGCCTTTATATTGGCCTTGCATATTGGAGGCCCCATCAGTGGAATTTCCAATACACCGCTTCACATCCAGATCCATGGTCTCCAGCACGTCATTCACAAGTTGGGCCCAGTGGATGCCTCACATCTGATCACAGTAACTAGTCGCTCATGAACAGTGTCTGTCACATACCGTATGACAACAGAGCACTGATCGTGGGCTGTGATGTCCTGTGTGGTGTCGATCTGGACCGAGTACATTCCAGATTCCCGGACTTCAGCAGCGATGGTAGTTTTCATTAGGCGTTGAATGGTGGTGATGATGTAGTCGATGGTCGTTTTGGATAGGAGAGTGACAAGGGCACCTCTACCTCCTCTTGAACCAGACTGGTCTATCTGCTTGCTCTTTTCGATGCAGAGAGTGAGGTGTTCCTTGAGACAGACGTCATACTTTCCCAGTAAAACTATCATTTCCAAAAAGTTACCATGGTCAATGGTGTCGTCATCAAGGGTGTATGCTGCCTCTCCCTGCTTGCCTCTGTAGCTCAAACCTCTTTTGCCGATGAGCTTCATCACATCTATAATGTGCTCCAACACTTGTCGCCTCCTGCGGACTTGCTCTCTGTGAAGCGACATCTGAGGTCCCATGAGAAGGTCCTGGATCCTGCTTCTTGAGGATCTGAGGAAATATGCCTCAGCACAACCTCTGTGTAGGTGGCTCTTCTCATGCTCTTCAACTCTCTGGTAGGGCTGCACAATTAATCGAATTTTAATCGCGATCACGATTTTGGTTGCCACGATTAAATGAGCATGATCGTCTGCGATATTGACGTTTAAAATGCGTGCTCTGCTACACATCAAATCAAGCGCTTCCTCAACTAACAGTCAGCCGACCACCAGGGGGCGAACGAGATGGGAGGTGTCATGCGCGCACCCTGCAGACTCCGCTATTAGTAGAAGAGTAGAGAGACAGACAACAGAACAGAGAGCAGACGGTCACGGGTGTCGTGTGAAAGTTAAGTCAAATGTCAGGAGCAGAAGGCGAGGAGCTAGCCCCTCGAAATGGATCATCATCCGTTGTCTGGAAGTTTTTTGGATTTAGGCCAAGTGATGTTAACCAAGAACAAATCATATGCACAGAGTGCGTTAGAGTTGTGTCTGCGCCGCATAGCAATACAACTAACTTGTTCAACCACCTGAAAAATCACCACAAACCACAGTATGACGAATGCATTAAGGCCAAAGCTAACGTTACCTCACTGAATCTCTGTCCATGTCCAGCGTTAACCCAGAAAACCATAACAGCGACCCTGCATAGCAGCATATCCATCCACCTCCCAAAGACACGCTGAAATAACGGATGCAATCGCATTTCATTTGGCCAAAGACATGTGTCCAATAAATACTGTGAGCAACACACATATTTATTTTTAGTTTGCCCTTTATTTTGGGTAAAAATGTAGCACATGGAAGTGAAAGCAGTGCTCCGTTGATTTAATTTTGGGTAAAAATTGTTGATACTATTTTATTTATATGTTCCTTCTACGAGATGCACTGTGATAAGGACCAGTCTGATGCAAAGATTTGTACATTAGCCGGAATGTAGCACAACAATGGAAATGGAAGCAGTGTTCATGTTCATTTAAACGTGAAAGTGCAATAAAAAGATGTTGTCCCTAAAATTAATGAATAATCGTGATAAATAATCGTGATCGCAATATTGATCAAAATAATCGCGATTATGATTTTGGCCATAATCGTGCAGCCCTGCTCTCTGGTGTACGTGTGTGAGGTTGGACATGCCAGTGATGAAAGAGCTGCTTTCTCTGGGATTAGCAAAAGCCAGACAAAGGGAACAGAAGAGGGCTTCTTTGTCTTGACTGTATGATAGCCATTTTCTGTTTGTGCCATCTTTGCAAAAAAAAAAGCTCTGCACTACAGCCTTGTCTGCCTTCTGCTGGGGGTGAAAACGGAAGAAGAGGTCTAATGTGTCTGACTTCGGCCTGGTGAAATAATCAAAATCTTGGCCTTCACTTTCTGTGTCATCATGCCCTTGGATATCCCTGTCATCCTGGCCTTGGCTTTCTCTGTCATCCTAGCTGCTATCCCTGTCACTCATCTTCAGCCTACATGAGTGGTAAGTAGGGATTATTATGTTAGTATGTTAAACCATTGACACAACACTATCAGCAAACTATGGTAGTATTTAGTATTAGTACCCCAGGTGAAAAAAAAGTACACTTAAGTACATTCAATTTAAGTGTACTAAGTATACTTTTTTGTACTTAACTTTCCACTATTGATTAGTACACTCAAAGTGTATTAGATAAGTATACTTTAAATACATGTGCTAAATTGAAATACACTATTTTTGTACTTAGTATATTAAAGTGTAACTTACGGTGTACCATAAGTTGTACTTTAATATACTAAGTGTACGTTTTTGTACTAAAATTGCACACACTGAAGTTGTACTTAAGTACATGTAAGTATACTTTTCTGTACTAATTACTGTGTGGCCCTGGGTCTTAGCTTGGCTCTGGGGCCCCTGGCTGCTGCTTCCAGCAGCAGAATCATCAATCTAAATAACATATTAACATTGTTTATAATGTTAGTGTTGTGTGTAACACGGTGATTTTAGCATAACAAGCTAGCTGGTTAACTTAAGTGTTATTTGAAAATAAGTTATTAGAAATTATAAGATTGCCCTTTTTGCAATTACCACCATGGATAGCTTGCTCATCGATTGTAAGCAGGTGACTATGGCTAACATGTTAAATTAGATAATCTCGATGATGACAACAGCGCCAGCTTGCTGATTTGACCAGATCATAACGGTCTCAATTTTGGACATTTATCTAGCTAACGTTAGCTAGGCTAGCTTGTAGGGAACGTTACCTCATCTCTGAAAAGCAAGCTAACATTGGCCAAGTCAACGCCACAACTTACCATCATATCACTGTCACCAGTCGGTGGTTTCCCAAATAAGTCAGAAATTTTTAAATATTTTGATGCACCTTCCTCCAGACATCTCTTCTTTTTTTCCTTGAGCTTTTCAGCTCCACCTTTAAAGGATTTACATTTTGGTGCCGGTGCCATGCTGTCGGCTCGCGCTCAAAAACGGCTTTGTCTGCGAGCGAGTGACGCAAGTGTTGAGTAGGCTAGAATGATTGACATTTAATAACACCTAAAACAAAGTTAGACTGACGGAAGAGATTAGATGAGTAAAGAAGATGGAAACCATGAGTGTGAATACAGATCGCGAGGAGTAGTATAAATGTCAGTCAGTGGTTATTGACTTTAGGTATTAGAGTAAATTTAACGTGTTCTGTGAAGCATAGAATATAGTCGTGGCCGGCGATGTCAGAGGGAGGGCCGGTTGGTGATGGAGGTGGGCCGGTATTGCACCAGCCCAACCCCGTCGGCCTACCGGGGATTTCCCCGGTATCTCCTATGGCCAGCCCACCCCAGACAACATATATATTAAACCTGCTGATCATTCGCATGTCACTGTTGTTATTGTGAGCACATTAGCATGCTGATGTTAGAACTGTCATTTCTCTGATATTTAGATAACACAATCTTTTACAAATGTATGTGACTTACTGTAGATGCATACAGTCACTGACTCTGTGTGTGTTTGTTTACTCGTGTATGTGTGTAGAATGCCATCTCTGTCGGAGCAGCTGCAGGAGGTGCGGAGTCGGGCTGAAGTGTGTCTGTTTTCCGGTGGCAGTGTGGTGGAGGTGCGGGTCGGGGTGATGGCTATGGCTAATCTGCCCTTACCGTCCTGCTCCAAATACTGTCACATCGCCGCAGAGACCATGGTGATAGAAAACAGCTTTGGCAGCAACAGGAAGGAGGTGAGAGAGAGAGCAAGTACACAATAACCCAACCTGGATATACCTGTTTAACCTCTATCCAGACAGAGAGACCAAGGTTGGGATCAGGAGTGTGGGTAGGGATACAACGATTAATAGGTCGGCCGAATAATGCCATTTTGAGACATTCGGCATCAGAAGATGCCTGCGATCAGGAGGCCGATTAGCAAACAATGACTGCCCTCTCAGTGTGGCTGCTGTGGAAAAAACCAGCCAGAACCACTGAACAAACAGTGTTTATTTGTTTGTATATGTAAGTTTGCTAATTTTTGTTCTCTCTCAGGCCGTGTCCACACTACTCTGTTTCCATTTGAAAATGCATATGTTTTGCTACGTTTACACTGAGCACCGAAAACGGAGGAGTTTGAAAACGCTCCCGAGGACGGATAAGTTTGTTATTGGAGCGCTTAGTGAGCGGCGCTAACCAGTTCTTCGTATTTTTGAAATCTCCGGGTTGCGTTTTCGTGTGGACGGTCGAAAACGGATAAGTTTGGAAACGATGACGCCCACCCCCGCCTTCGCTACTTGATTGGTTATTAGCAGTCATGATGTGTCCTTCCCCGATTACAGGTGCTGCTGACCTTGTTGTCTTTACTAGCAGCTGTTGTTCAGTTAAAGTCTGCATTATTACGGCGGAAGCAGCTGTTATTGGAGTGATTAGCGAGCGGCGTGACCAGTCTGGACGGAGATCATTTCGAAAATGATGCTGAAACGCCGTGTGGACGGAGATCGTTTCTGATTTAAAAACGGAGTAGTGTGGATGTAGCCTCAGAAACATGGAGATACTGCTATCTGCTGACAAATGTTTTTGAATGCACTAAAACTAAGTTGTTGTTTGTTTTCTTACAAAGTTTAGTTCTTTGATTACCTAAGGACATTTAGTTGATACGTTTTAATCCATCTAAAATAAGTGCACTGCAGACAGAGTGCAGATCTACTTAAGCCAGGGGTCGGCAACCCGTGGCTCCGGAGCCGCATGCGGCTCTTCAGCCTCTCCATTGTGGCTCCCTGAGTCTACATCCACACTAATACGTTTTTGTGTTAAAACTGAGTTTTAACACGAAAACGATCTCCGTCCACACGCCGTGTCAGCACCGTTTTCTAAATGATCTTTGTCCAGACTAACATGCCTGAAAACGAATATCACGTGGATGTGGGTGCCGGTGTAAACAGGAAGTAGATCGGTTGCTTAGTTAAAAAAAATACAAAGAACTGGTTAGTGCCGCTCACTAAGCGCTCCAATAACAAACTTATCCGTCCTCGGGAGCGTTTTCAAACTCCTCTGTTTTTGGTGCTCTAAACTTCGGCGTAGTGTGGACGCTCAGTGTAAACGTAGCAAAACATATTTTAAAATGGAAACGTAGTAGTGTGGACAAGCAAGCAGTAGTGTGGACATCCACACTACTGCTTGCTTTGACAAAAACTAATATGGAAATAAATAAGGGTTATTTTTATTTTATTTTTTGCACAGTGGACAGTCATTCAAAGGGAACACCTCTTATCTTGGAGTTTGAGGTGATACTGTGTCACTGAAAATAAAACATGTTTTAATACGTTGTCAACTAAAATGTGCGTCGCATCCTATTACGTCGCTGTCAAGAGCCTTTCCCTGCAGGTGGCTAATCATGATCTGCAGACCCCCGCCCTCGGTAAATTATCAATGGATAAATCCAAAAAAGAAAAGTCACGGAGGAAAATAGAGAGTTTAATTCTGCGTGGACGTATTCATTTGCTTTCACTGCCAATGAAGCTGGCTTACCTGTATGCTTGATATGTGGCGAGAAATTTGCTAGAAATGTAATGTTGAAAGTCACTTCCAGAACAAGCACACAGCATTTGCTGAAAAGTATCACGCTGGAGATGAGTGAAAAAGAGCGATTTCTCAACTGCTGCAGCAAACTGAGAAAGTTTTTCTCTCCTCTTCATAAGAGTTTGATAAAAGGAGATGCACTTATGACTTCCGGTGACTAGTTCTCTTGAATACCTATGTTGAATACAATTATTGTAAGTCACTTTGGATAAAAGCGTCTGCTAAATGACTGTAATGTAATGTAAAAACTATCGTTCTTGTATGTATGTATATATACAACTTAAGCTGTGATATCAAATAGCTTTTGCGGTTCCAGACAAATTGTATTTGGTGGAAAATAGCTAGCAAATAGCAAAATGGCTCTTTGGATGGTAAAGGTTGCCGACCCCTGACTTAAGCAAACAGAGCCAGTGCAGAAAATAACATTCATTTAAGTTCCGCAATTTTTCTAAATTTTATTCAATTGTTGTATTTTATCAGATGCATAAAAAAGGGAAGAAAAACATGATATCGGCATTATACATCGGCTATCGGCTGTATTGCCTCTCTCAATATTGGTATCGGACCAATTGGGCATTGAAAGAGCTGAGCTTACCAGAGCTTCATGGGGATCAACGCAAATCCAGTCAGAGCTCTGAGGAAGCGCTAGCGGCACAAAAAAGAGGGCACAGAAATGATATTTATGAATATTCAGCGCCATCAATTATTTCGATTTTTTTGTTTGGAGGAATCCCAAGCTTAATTGTAATACACTGTACAGTATGTCTTTTATGAGACACGGGGGTTATTACTATCATCTTACATTTTTCATGTGGCATGTGGAGATGAATAAGGGACGAAACCACTGTGGGTGCGGGCGGATGAACTATGAACTTGAACCTTACAGCTTTTTAACTTGTGGACAAATTTCCTGTGTTTCTTCCTCAGACCCTCGCATCTCTCCAGCGCTTGTCTACAGCATTGAACATCCTAGAAAAGTACGGCTGTAATTTGACAAATCCCAACAGGCCAAAGTACTGGAGGACCGTGAAACACAACAACCCAGTGTTCAGGGCCACCGTTGATGCTATTCAGGTAACATTAGAAAGTACAGTGGAGTTATAAAGTACAGTAGAGTAAGTGTAATCGACTTAGTATATCTTTACGTACAAGCCTTCATCACATATTAATGGCATGTCAGTCTACCAGTTGCTTGTATTCCCAAGTCTACTATATTGACTGACTGACAAATGTAAATAGTTAGCAGAGACATGAGCTTGTTCATTGTTCTTACTGACTCCTCCATTTGGCACCGAGCGTTCATTGTTCAGATGGTGAGCAGCCCTGAAGATGTTGAACCTCCCCTGATCTTGTTCTAGTCCTGTCCTGAACCTGTCCCATTCTTATCCTGATCCTGTCCTGATCTGGTCTCAAATGTGTCATTATCAAGCAGCGACCTCCGGTGCTGAGAAATGAAGCCAACGCTGGAAGTGCCTGAAACTGCAGTTCCTCAAATGGCCACTTGAAGCTGGCACCAGAAGGGAGTCAATCCCATAGACCAGGGGTCACTAATAGGCAGGCCGCGGTCCGGATCCGGACCCAGACGCCGTTGTATCCGGACCCTGGACCTAAAACCGATAATTGATAATTATTAAATTTTGACAGAGCGCTTCTATTTTAACCGGCACAGCTTTTACAGCCTTTACAGCACTCCAGTGGTCCAGGAAACACACCGACCAATGCGTTGTAAATCACATCACGTGATGCAGCTCAGCCAATCAAATATGGGTATTCTGACAAGTTTCCTGACTGATTTACACGCACGGCCCGGGGCTGAGATGAGGAAAGAGAACGAAGGGCAGGTGAATAAATACGTGAGTCAGAGAAGTTATTTCACATGACGTTCTCCAAAAAGAGAAAAGTGGTCAAAGAGACCAGAGTCTTTAACCAAGAATGAACAGACTCTTATAGGTTAATTATTCCCACGGGCAGTTTAAAACCAGTGTGTCTCATATATTCAGAGGCCGCGATGATTATTAAAAGCGGTAAATGAAGCGACACTAGGAGACAAAGCACAACTCTTTTGAGCAAACGTTCCCACTCACATCTGAAATTAATTCACAGAAAATAAACCTAAGAGTCCAAAATGATCAGAATCCTAACGCATTAATTCACTGCCCAACAATGATGTTAACAGAGAGAATAGAGCTGAAACAAGTGGTTTAATAACCACAGATAGTCCATGAACACTAATTTCTCTTCTTAGAAGATGAGAAAAATATAATTTCGTGGCTTTTTATTGACATCACTTCACACCTGAATGAACTGAATTTAAAGCTGCAGGACAATTCAGTGAAATACATTTTTCTAAAATGAATTACTTTATTTTAAGATGCACATTTATTTATGTATTTCTATGTATTAGTTAAATTTGAAAACTGAGAATAATAATTGTTAAAATATAATTGATGTGTACTTTCTTTATTTGATTTGACAGTTGTTGACTACACAGAGATGTTACTACTACTAGGCTTCTTGGATATATATATATACAGTATATATATACATACAGTTGTGTGAAAAAGTGTTGTTTATTAAGGGGGAAAAAAATCCAAACCTACATGGCCCTGTGTGAAAAAGTGATTGCCCCCCCCCCCTGTTAAAAC